GGCCTGGATGATTCTTCAGAAAGATTAGGAGATTGAATCGACGGGATCTTCTTCAAAGGGTGATGTTTCAGAATTTTGGCATAGCACATTGGTGATTCTCTAAAAAACAAATCCTTTTCTTCATAAATGATGGTCACATCCTAAAGAAAAGGACTAGAAATAGAACTTTCTATCTCAGCAAATTTGACATTGTTAGAATTATAGGTTTTATGAGTGGCCGGATTGCTCCTTTGAGTCCTATCAAATTACACTTAACAGCTCTACAATCGAACTTACTTTAATTATGAGAGTGAACACATACGAAAACTTTAGGAGCCAATATAGTTAACTCATTAAAAATCTGGGTAATATCTAGCAAACACCTCCATTCGACTTCTAAACACGAGGATTTGATTCGATTAATCGGGTGAAACACAGAGAGGATAGTTTCCCCCAAAAAAAGTTTATGCAATAGTAAATCATCTATACCAGTTCTGCTTCATTTGGGCCAGTTTCATTCACTAAACAGCAATTTACTTTTTAGGACAAATTTAGGGTTCTCTAAATTTAAGAAATCTCTAAATCTCACACCTATGCTCATATTATCATACAATATTGGCTGTCAATAGCACACCTAATGAAGCATAGCAGTGAATGTGCAACTAGTCAACCCCCAAAGTTTCAAAGTCAAACAAGCATATACTGAAAACATTTAGGACAAATTCAACTAAATTATCCACACAACAAAGAAGAAGAACAGAACAAGGAAAAAAAGAGAAGAAAATGAAGAAGATGAAAGAAGAACATACCGGCTAAGAAGCTCAAACAAAGTTGAAACACCCACTAAGAAAATGTGAAGTCTCTCCTTTACAGAATATATACCAAGTAATCGAATTCTTTATTCTATATATACATGTATTGGGTGAGGAAGAAAAAGAAGAACTTGCCTTTATTATTGTTTAGTTTCCGAATGCCCCTCTTTTCAGTTTCAATTTTCTTAAACCGAAAATGTTAAAAATATACAAATTGATGAGTTTTGAAATTTCCCCCCGTATTATTTACATCATGTAATTTCGATGTATTTAGTAGGACACATCCCCTTGTTTGTGCCGCCCGGTCCAATAGTGCTGTTATTCTTTTCTTACTTTTCCCACATTATTAAGTACTTTTTTTCTTTTAGACATTACTTATTTATTTTTATTTTAAAAAAAAAGGGATGTACATTACATTATTACCTTTATATGATTTTTAAACTTATACTCCTACTAGCAAAACTTATAATTTTTAGAAAGAAAGAAATCAATGCTAAAATTTGCACTAAAATTAATCTGACCTCGTATTATAGGACATTAATTTGGAATGTAAAGAGTATTATTTGTAAAAAATTCCCGTACTCTTTTTCTTTTGACTTCAAATATTATAATTTTTTCAACTTCAACCAAATATTGTCAAAACGCCTGGTCTTTTATATAAACAACGGAAAAAGTTCATATATGCCAGTCAACTATACGAAATTGTATACATTTGTCAGTCGTTAAAAATTGGGCTCACATATGCCCTTGCCGTGTATAAGGTGACTCACATATGCCCTTTTTTAGACGGACCTCACTAATAAAATATTTAGTATCAGATTCTGACACGTGTCACAATTTAGTGCATTTCATTTATACCCTAATTTAAATAATATATCAACTCGACTCATCACCTTTATTTTATTAAACCGATCTGACCCGGTACCCTACAATAAACCCCAATCTTATTATATTACCCACTCTCTCACCTCTGCTTTCTTCACCCAAATTCTCCTCTCGCCATAGCGGATGGGTCAATACAAAGTGAGCTTATTATTTGAAAAGTGTGCTCATTTCAACTGATTTTTAGCTTCAGAATGGTTTAAACCCCTGATTGATTGTTTATCAGGACTTAAAAAAACCAGCTTTTCTATTGGAGGTCAACAACAAGATATTGATATTTTCTTTGCAATTCTTTTTTGTTTTCAGTGATTTTTACCATTGGCGTGTATAGCATCAATGACAGAAGGCAGTAAATTCTGTTTTCTCTTAGATTCCATTTTCATGTTGTTGGTTGTTATCGTTAAAGTGACGTTGGCTCAAAATTCTACGCTTGGTGATGATATTCTGTTGAACTGTGGAGGTCATGAAGGTCTTTAAGACGCCGATGGTCGAAAATGGGGTTCAGATGTTGGGTCAACATAGTTGAAGGGTAGCAAGTCGTGGAGTAGTATAATAGGATTGGGGTTTATTGTATGGTACTGGGTCGGGTCGGTTTAATAAAATAAGGGTAATGGGTCGGGTTAATTTATTATTTAAATTAGGATATAAATGAAATACACCTGATTGTGACACGTGTCAAAATATGGTGCTAAACATTTTATTAGTGAGGTCCGTCTAAAAAGGGGTATATGTGAGCCACCTTATACACGGTAAGGGCAGATGTGAGCCCACCTTTTAACGACGGGCAAATGTGTACTATTTCGTATAGTTCACTGGCATATATAGACATTTTCCGTATAAACAAATAGATGGGTGAATCGTCAAAAGATATAAACAAAGAAATCGACCACGATAACTTAAAACAATATCCACATTTTGATGTCAATCATGCATTTTGGAATTGGAAGTTTTGAAAACTTACTCTATCCTACTTAAATTATTTGCTCAAAAACCACATTAAACCTCATAATTTTAAAATTTGTTAAGACATGTAAATCAATATTCTTTATGAATCGTCTGATTTATAAACTAGTTATACATGAATTACAATTCATAATTGTTATGCGACGAATACTAACTAGCACAAGAATTGTAATACAAGAATGGTAATACTAAGCCAATAATTAGTTTTATCATTTAGCAACTAATACAAGTTGTAATTTAGAGAAATTGTGAATTTCAAAATTTTACTTTATACTACATACTATCACATATTTTCTTAAAAGTGATTTTTAATTTTCACTAGAGCATTGCACATAATTTTAAAATATTTCTAAGTATTGGTCAAGAACATTTTTGTCATTTTAAATACTTAATATTGTTATTAGATGTTGCGCTATTTCACTTTCTATTCACATAAATAAGTACACAATAAACTGTTATGCATATACACTTATGCGAGAAATGAAAATTAAAAAACGTAATATTCATAACACAGAATCTCGAAATGTCGTTCGTCTTTTTTGCCCTTTGAAACTAGATTTCACATTGGATAAAACTGTAATTTAATTATTTTTCTAATATCTATTTTAAATTAACTAAAGTAAATCTTTCCTTATTAAACTAGGTAATTAGGTAAGAACTCTTAATACTTAGGAATTTAAATAGAGTAAAACTTTATTTATATAAAAAAAAAAAAACTTACCTAAATTAACTTCCCACGGTATCCTAATTTAAACAGGACAAGACCGTATACACACATATAAACTAAAACACTTACATCGGTAGAATTAACTAAAAGATTATTTTTAAAATTATTTTTTAATATAAATTTTATAATACTACTTCTAAGATTGTATTACTTTTGTGAACGAATCTTAAAAATAAACACTAGCCTTAATTTTTAAAATCTGAGTAAGTCATGGACTCACTCCTGTTCATTAATCATTATGAAGAAAAATAGGTTCCAGTTTGAATGAAATTTTCAAAACCTCTTTGCTCATCTATAAAAGAACTTCACGGCTATTTTCTGTAAACGTATAATAAAGCTTTGACTATTGGCATTATTCAGGATAAGGTTTGAGCTTTTTTTTTTCCTCTATGATCTTTTTAACCTTAACTTATTCTTCACAGGGTGTAAATTGATATATTGGTAGTTTGGTTACTTATTTACTTTGAAATATTGGATTGCTTGAATGTATTTCTTTAAGTATATACTTGTATTTGTGTAGATTAGCGGATTGTGTAGGATGGATTTTCACTCTGATGCTTTGATTTAATTTTAGCTAATAAATTTGGCAATTTTTATTATGCAATATCAAATGTACTGACTTCAACTTAAAAGGACATTGTAAGTATCGTGTATTTCTTCAAGCTCTTATTCCTGAGGTGTCACGTGCGATTCACGACCACAAGCTGGAAATAATTGCATGTGATAGTATCCAATAACTCAACTATAAACTCTTGATTTTGTTTATTACTTTCAGTGACTTTATTGAATTAATTCTATTTCTTAGCGGATTGAACAAAAGATGGGGATGGGGACGGGGACGTTGGTGGATATTCTAAAGAGGGAGGTTTAAAGGGTGCTGTAAAATCAATATTGATGTTTTGGTTAGACATTCTGTTGTGTAGCAGTTAGTCAAATATATTTTTTTATAATGGTAAAATATTTACCTATTAACACTATTAACTCTTAACAATTACCATATCCACTAACTCAACATCTTATTCTACACCAGATAAAATAGTTATTTAATGATTTTCTAATTCTTAGGACTTAAAAATCAACTAAATTTTGTTTATTGAACCTTTGTTATTTGAATTAGATAGGATGTCCTATTATTTAAAACTTATAATTCCATTTAGTTTCTACCACTTCTTTGCAATAAACATATAAAATTAAACATTAATGTAAATACTTCAATTGGAATAAACACATAATATACTAAACATATAATATTGAAACGACAAATAATCATTAAATAACACTTAATTCTTATACATGTAATATAGGAGTCCTAAAGTAAAATCGCACTCATAATACCACATATTTAAAGGAAAATACGTAGGGTAGTGTTTTTTTCTTTATTGATTAATTAGATAAATAGGATACAATTATATTATTTTGAAAAACTTATACTTTTTTCATTAACTTTATTTTATAATAACTCAAACATAATCTTTTATTTAAAAATTATGTAATTTTTTTTTTTAAAAAAAAATTGTACTCAGTAACACGAGATCGCGTACCCTAAAAACTAATTTTATATAATATGTAAACAATATAATACAGAATTTAACGTATAAATTAGTTTTTATCATACAGTAAACCAAATGCACCATGTATTACCCCCCCCAAAAGCGTAAAAGCTAGGGATAATTATCCATTTAAGCAGCCCCGAGCACCTTGGAGTTAAATACCATGGGGTTGTCGATTTTCCTGTTTCTAAGAGGCTGTCTTCCTATTTTCTTGCAGAGTACAAAAGGTAATACATCATAGCTACTACAAACTCATTGATTGTCGCTTATTACAGCTGATAAGGATATAAAATCAGGTTTAATATCAATTCTTTTAGCTGATTAATCTGTTTATTTTGGTAGTACGTGGTTTCTTTTTCCACCCCCTTTGAATATGGAGTTTTTTTTTTCCGAATAATATGTGAAATTCTCTAAATTTGACATGTTCTTGATGTTTTATGACACGTATTTGTACTGTTGACATTTTTTTTTTTTTCGCATCTGATGTTATGTATTGAAATTCTTGGAAGGTGTTTGATGAACCCGTTATTTATCCAGCATCAAGTTCAAAGCTTTAGCTTCTGTTCTTCTTTACCCATTAGGATAGTACACGCTTTGACCAGTCTGTTCAACTAAGTCATTAGTAGCGCCTGGAAACTGGATGTGAATACTGAATTTTAAGTCAGTGGTACAGTATACAATTGAAGGGGAGCCTTGGAGCAACAGTAAAGTTGTCTCTGTGTAACCTATAGGTCACGGGTTCGAGCCGTGGAAGCAGCCACTAGTACTTGCATTAGGGTAGGCTGTCTAAATCTCACCCCTTGGGGGTGCGGCCCTCCCTCAGACCCTGCGTGAGCGCATGATACTTTGTGCATCAGGCTGCCCTTTTGGTACATAATACAAGTGCATCCATTACTCCTTTGTGGCAGTGGGCGCAAACTTAGCGATAATGTACATTTTCCAAATTATTCCGTTGTCTGTATATACAGTTCGAACTGAAGGCACTCGCTGCTAAAATCTTGAATTAGGCCATAGTGGAGATCTGCATGCAGCTTTCTTAATCTATCTACAGCCGGCCCATTTCCGAGCACAGAATTTTACTACCTTGAACAAGATGATAACTTATCGACGAATGAACAAATGGATTGACATGATTCACTGCACCTTCAAAGAACGGGATGGTATGGCTTGGTCTGCAGTGGTGTTAGTGTGATTTGCTTCTTCTTGGATGGTCAAATGTGATTGAGTGTGGGTTTGGTCTTGGGCATGCTGTAAGGGCTTGAAGTAGTTGAGGCTCGATATATATTGCAAGCATTTTGGGAGGTTAAAGATGTGGTTTTGAAGTTCAAAGATTAAGCTATTGCTAATTAGACAACTTCTAGAGGAACACCGCAGGTTTTCTTTTATTTAAATAACGGTAGTGGTCGAGCCAACTTGTGTGTACCTCGTTCAATCCACGGGAAAATGACTTAGCTTTTTTTGCTTTTGCTGGAATTTGAACCCTGGTCTCCTACCATCATTTCCAGTTTCATTTGCAGTTAGGCCACACCTGCGGATGCAGAATGCTATAGGCTATCTAATGCTAGTGAAGATTTACATGGTCATGGAGATGTTTCAATCTCTTGTTGATTGTTTTTGGTCTGTGTTGGACGTTTGTCCCTTTTTCGGCAGCTAGAAGTGTCATGAAGATGAGGAATCTTCTAGTCCTCCTCCCTACCCCGCTGGGATAAAAAAGTGAGAGGTTAATAAATAATAAAAAGAAAAGATCCGGAGTACTGATTTTTTGGAGCTTTCTGGTTTTGCTTTTTTTATCAGTTCGTTTTGTGAGTTGAACTGGTATAGTTTATCCGTAACGTCAGGAAATGATGAATGAAAAAAGATGCTTTTGCTGTCTATTCTAATGCTTCACTAAGTAAAAAAGAATAGTTTTTTAACAGTAATCCATGGAATCATTAGTAAGCAATGAACAAGCTGTAAAGGAATGTGACTCTACAAGTGCTTAGACACCATAACTTCATATCTATTGATGATAAAGGAATAGTCACATTCCTAAAAGAAGCTCAAGAAGATCACAAAGAGTGAGTGCAGCTTAGTCTATAGTATGCTGGCTTAGATAAATTTGGCAAGGAAAGGTTGAAGTAAGTCTGGTCCATCAGGAAAGCTCCAAAATTTTTGTTTGACTGAGGTGGAAAAGCCATTGGATTAAAAAGAATGCTGGGAAGATTGCAGCAAAAAATTCTTTTTAAATTTGACGTTTAGCATCAATGTCGGAGGATGCAAAGCGCAACTTATATTTATGGTGACATGAAGAAAGTAAAGGTCATTCTTTGGATTGATTTGTTGCAAGTTTTAAGATTTTAGTTCCATAAGTCGCAACTTGCCTTTTCTGGTGCCCTTTTTATAACAGGTCCTACTTGTATATAAGTATGGGCTGTGGCCAGGGTAGTTAACGTCATAAGAACAAAGTGTTGAAGGGCATATAAATAGCTAGCAAGTAGGGCTAGTGCGACAGGACTGTTGTGTTTTGTGCTGAGCTTACTTTGTCATCAGAGAGTAGAAAATTAATCGTGATTAACAAGAATTACTCAATTTCATTTGGCCAGTATGAATGGATTCTGTATGATAAATGATGGAACTGTGAGAATGCACGGGATAAATATTTATTTATTAACAATGATACTTCTCCTACATATGGGACTAGGACATATTCTGCTCCTCCTACATATGGGATTAGGACATATTCTACTCCTACTACATATGGAACTAGGACTTGGTAAAAATATCTGCAAGCTGATCATTCGACATACAAGGCCATAGACTCCCCCTGAGCAACAAAACTAGGTGGTTGCTGATAAACAGAAGTTGACCGAAAGGTCGCCGGAAAAATTTAAAAATAGTGAGACTAAGCCGAACACTACAAAATAGGTTCTAAAACATCACCAGAAACACATAAACTTAATATTCACGCCGGGAAATCACTGTTCACGCCGATAAAGGGCACTGTTCACGCCGGATTTTTTTATTTTATTTTTTTATATCAGAATTTGATGTAATTTATATGGGTAGGCTCGGAATCACTGGATGAGTAAGTTGTCCTGAAGAAGCTTTGTCAAAAAGTGGCCGGAATGGCTCACACGCGCCGGAAACGTTACTGTAGTTCGCCGGAAAAGTTACTAGCGGTGCGCGGAGGCGCGTGAGGGACTTTTGCCCGGAGCGATCGACTGTTTCCGAACAAGACGGTAGTGTTGATTTTTGCACAACATTTACCGATGAGGAGATGATGCAAATCAATCTTGAGTCGTTAACCGGAAAGACGCACGGTGGCTGACTTTTCTGTTCCGATGGGACTGGAATTTCTGGGATTCAGTCGCACAAGGGTTTTGGATCCGATGGTGGTACTGGTATATGTACAGTACCACTGTAGCAGTGATGAACCCTGGGAACAAGACGAAGCTACCGGAAAATTGCACGGCGACTGAATCTCTGATACCATGTGAGAACACACGGGAGAAAAATCTATTTATTAACAATGATACAATGAGCCTTATATATAATACATATTCTACTCCTACTACATATGGGACTAGGACTATTTACACATAACTATCTAACAGGAACAATAGGTAGTAGAATAGCTTCTTTGACAATAGCATTGGCTATTGCTCGTTGCAGTATCATTTAGCAAGTTTTTATGATATCTAAGTTGTTCAAGTCAGGCATAACAGCTAGACAGACTTTCCAGCGGCCATCCATTGTGCTACCGACTTCCAATGTAGAGACTCATGTCACCACCAGTGATGCAAAAAGAAGCAAACAAACGTTTTTCCCTCCCTTTTGCCTTCTTTTTCATCAAAAAGATGTGCAATCACTGATTAAAGGTATGAACCAATGATAAGGAATAAATGAAATGTTTCATGTTCTTCAGTTAGCTAAAAGCATAAGAGGAACCCATAATGTACTCTTGCCGTTCTTTCTTTAACGCCTTCTAATTTCCAGGTTGAGCCAAAAGATCTTGATCCTGTTGGATATATGGATGGATTTGTTACATTAATCTTTGTTTGTTTTATGCTAAGTCATTTTGTTATACTAATTCTTGCTTTATATGTCTGTGTGCGTCTATTCATAGGCAGTCAAGAAAATAGGTTGAAGTGTTGAAGACTAAATATTCTCCAGGTAGAAGTAATGGTGGAATGGTGGTGGTCTTTAGTGGGAGCTGCTGTGCCAGCTGTAGTGGCAGGTCAAGCTTTCAGGTTGAAAAAGAGGAGAGATGAGGAGGAGAGGTTAAAGAGGGCGAAAGGCCGTGAGAAGAACTCTGATGATATATTTGTTTGTGAAAGAGTGTGTACTTCAAAAAGGATGCTCAAGAAGGTTGGTGCATTTTCTAAAGACCCGACACCCGATACTTGTGTTACTGTTTGTGGTGTTTCCGAGCTTGATGCTTGTGCTGATGCGTGTGCTCGGACTGTTTGTGTTAATCAGCATCAGGTGCCTAACTGGAATGATATCTGTCTTAAAAGGTGTCAAAGTGAGTGTCTTAGGATCTCACAATCTTCTGTAGGGTCTTCTTAACCCGTTGCTCTAACATTTTGCTTTATCATTTCAAGAATTCTGGTCTATTGACAGTCTTCTGAAGTTCATGAATATCATTTGTGCTATTTATTGTGACTATGCTTTGAGATCTTTGATATTGGTAGCTTGTGAGTTGAAGACTAAGGCTTATTAGGAAAAATAATACATGTATTAGCCTTTGTATTATTAATCTCTTCTGTAGCGTCTTCTTAGCGCATTGCTCTAACATTTTGCTTTTATCATTTCAAGAATTATGTTCTATTGATAATCTTCTGTAGCTCATGAACATTATTTTCGAATTCTATTTTGACTATGCATCGAGATATTTGATATTGGTAGCTTGTGAATTGAAGACTAAAATTACAACACAAACTTGATTTCCAGAACCACCAGAATTCATTAGAGATTGAGATCGATTTTCTTTTCAAACGGTTTTTTTTTTTTTTGGATACATCATGTATGTAAGCTGAAGCAAAAAGGTATTCCTTTTTTGTGTTATTTTAAGAGTACATCAATCAATTAACTATGTCTCAATCCCGAATTAGTTGGAACGTTATATGAATCTTGTGTTTTCATTCCACTTTGTTCAGATCCATTTCATTCTAATACCAAATAATTCACTCAAGGAAATTAGGAGCTCCCTAGATCTCATACTTCAACATCTCTCTATATGACATCCAAGTATCAAACCAATGTAATGTTAGCTGTCAACCTATCCAAATAATAATTAGTTTAGAATTAGCATGGAAGCGTTTCTCGTCTGCCAGGTGAACAATCTTATCCGGTACTTATACGAATAAAAAAAAGTATATAGCTGTGAAATAAGCGAGGTATGGTCAAGCTCACCCGTAACCGGCAAAGGTAGAGCCAAATTCAGTCCAATCCGCTCATTTAACACCACAAGTGTGGCGCAGAAAAAGTTGTTTTTAAGTTTAAAGATAAAGCGAATCCATGAAATACATGAATACTACAAAGGCGATGCAGGCATCAAAATTTTATTACTTTGTAGTGTTTCTAATGGTATGAATTATTATACGATGAATTAATAGTTATGCAGAGATTGCAATACAAAAATCAAGAATTAGCTTTTCTTAGTATTTCTCATACAAAAATTTGTTTTCTCACATTCTTTCATGAATGAAATAATGCATAGATTCTCCCATAATTTATGAAGGTATTAGTGATACTGAAAACAAAATATCGTATCATTATCTTAAGAGTTTTATACCATAAACTAAACGCTTCACTAATATTGGAGAGAAATTCAAAAATAGCCACAATTTCAAAAGTAATCGAAATTTAATCACTTTCAAAATCCGGAAAATACTATTATACTGGAGTTCTAGCATAAGTATACTGGAACTCCGGCATATTATACTGGACTTCCAGCATAATATACTGGAGTTCCAATATAATATATCGATCCAGCATAATATGCTGAAAGTTCATACACAAGTGCACCGATCTCCAGTATATTATGCTAGAACTTTTCGTGTTGCAGCAAAATAGTAGCTATTTTTCAATGACTTTGCAAACGCTGTCTATTTTTGAATGACCAGTCCGAAAACTGGCTAGCCTGTGCTATTTTTACCTAATATTGCAGAGTTCTATGCCAAGAACATTTTTATACGGCAAACCAAACCAGCCCTGATGGTATTGTAGCCATTCTGGCGTCGTGTTGATTGGTTTTGTCTATCAATTGACATTCTATCCCTACTTAAGCAACTATATTCTTTTAGAAGTTGAGCAAAAGAGCCTTTGCCCTTTCAAATTTCTTCAGTACATACATCAAATAGAACAAAAGCAAATCTCCCAGCTCAAGAGTATACTCTCCTCCTCGTCAATCCTTTTAGGCTCCTTGCTTCCGCGAGTTCAACCCCGTTAATTGGCATATATCACCAAGAAAAAGGGAGCAAAGAAAACACAGAGAGAAAGCACAGTACAACAAAATTCAACATGTTCAGAATCTAAAGACAAGAAAACAGTAGACATAGCAGAAACTTGAATAATACTACGATGAACGATCCAATATGCTTAAGCACAAACATAACCTTTACACAGAAATATTGACTTAAATGAGTTGATAAGATGAATTCTAGACTATATACACACGGACCTTGTGAAACCTTATAGAAAACCATTAAAGTTACCTCAGGTAAAGATCAAAACTTTACCACTGAAATACAAAAACAACAACTACGCCTCAATCACAAACTATCTCTAGGGAAAACAACTTTAGGAAAATGTGAACAAGACAAGCAAGATAGGATTTAGAAATTTGAACTAAACGATCATTCAACTACCAACAAGTCTGAATAACACGTAGTACCTACAAATCCAGGAAATCCACCAACAAGAAGAGAAATTTCTACAATGAGAAGAAGCACCGTTATGCAGTTCTGAGGTCAACGTATATATTTCTTCATATGAATGAAGAAAAGTAGCTAATTTCGCTCGCCACTCACTTCCTACAGCATTTGAGCATTCAATTTAAAAAGAATTCTTGGCTCCCGTAAACCTGACCGATACGCTAAAGCACAAATATTGTCTTTACACGGAAGAGTTGAGCTAAATGAGTTAGATAAGATGAATTATAGACAATGCACACATGGAACTCAGGAAAACTTATAGTAAACCATCAAAAGTTAGCTCAGGTACCAGATCAAACTTTACCACGAGAAAAACATAACAAGAACTATGCCTCGAGGCAAAGGAAAATAGGAGAATTTCTCGAAATAAAAGGTCATCCAACTACAAGCAAGTCTACAACTACAAGTCTTGAAAATTGAATAACATAAAGTACCTACAAACCCAAGAAACCTACCAACAACAATAGAAATGTCTACAAACATAAGAAATCTACCAACAACAAGAGAAATTTCTACAATGAGAAGAGCACAATACTGGGGTCAGCATATATACTTCTTCATATGAATGAAGATAAGCAGCTACTTTTGCTCACTACTTCACTAGAACATTTCAGCATACAACTTAAAAGGATTTTTTTGGCTCATGTATACCTTACCAATTCCATCTGCCTCAAATTCAAGACCCCTTAACCTCCACCATTCTCATATTTCAATCAACTTGATCAGACTAAACATTAATTCCATAGATTCAAAATTCTTGAGGCAATTCATTTAGAAACCATAAAATGAACCCTAAATTCCTTTTTAGGTATACTTCCTAGGCCTACCTCTTTTCTTAGCTCCCGTTGACGCTGACATCGTTCTTGGAGCCGAAGGTGGAGCCTGAGTCTGAGCTTGAGCCTGAGCTTGAGCCTGAACTGGCGCTGGAGCTGGAGCTGGAGCTGGAACCGGAATTGGAGGAGCAGTTTGATTTGCAACATTCACATTTCCCTCGGATGAAAACATAGGTGGCATCCAACTAGGAAATCCTGCACCAGCAGCAGCAGCAGGACTTTTCCCATTTTCCAAATCCCCCTTCACAAACCCCATTGGGAAAAAACCCCAAATGCAATAATAAGCTTCTCTCCCAGGAACCAAAGGCGGCATTGACAAAATCGCAGTTGCAGTAAATGCCCTATTACACTTCTCACACCTTAAACAACACCCTTCATAAACCCTAGGATACTCATACAAGTTGTAACAGTAAGGACACGCCGTCCATAAATTGACCACACTTTGCCCCCTCATCCCACCACTCACCGGTGTCGCCGCCGTCTTCGGCTGCAGAGGCTGAACAGGAACCCTATTCTGAAAATTCACCGGATTCGGGTTCGAATTCGGGTTCTGACCCGAATTACTCCCACCACTACCCCCACTAGCCCTACTGCTTCTTCTCACAGGCAATTTCTCATCTCCTCTTTTTTGCTGTTTATTATAACTCTTAGGCCGTCCTCTTGTTGGAACCAAATTAACCCTACTAAAAAGGGAAAGCTCATTATCATAAAGACCTTTTTTAGTAGGATCCGAAAGAACAGCCCAGGCATCAGCAACAAGACCAAAAGCAGAATCAGAAGAAGGGTATTTATTCTTATCAGGGTGAAGAAGAAGAGCTAAACGACGATACTGTTTCTTAATTAGCTCAGAATCATCAGTTCGGCTTTGGATTTGAAGAATAGAGTACCAATCGTGGTGATTGTTGATTCGTTTTGAAGAAGCTAAAAGAACTTCAGCAATGGCTAAGATCTGATCTGGACCTTCTAATAAAGGCTCAGTTTCTTGTGCTAAAAGGGCAAAATCTTTACAAGGTCCGAAGTCTTTTTCGCGGAGGAGTTTTTCTGCAACGCCTAGTAATCTTTCTGCTTCAGCTCTGCTTGTAGTCGTATGATGTTCCATTTTTTTTTTCTAGGGGAATTGTTTGCAGTTTGGTTTTTTGGGCTTNACAAGGGGGGTTGGGGGTTGGGGTGGGTGGTGTTACTATGGACAGTGTGTAGAGTGCAAAGGCTGTCGTTTTAGGACCAAATGAGTTTAGGATATAACTTTGTTGCATCACGTTATCTGACAGTGTAATGAGGTTTGAATGTAGTACTTTGATTATGGGTATACCTGTCATTTCTCACTTTCGAGTGTACTTTCTTATTACATTTTCTTTTAATGTAATTATTTTTGGTAGTTAGTATATATTTTCCTTTTTAGTTTTTCTCATACAAATAATTTTTTATATTTAAATTTAATTTTATATATTTTTATTTTTTTAGAATAAAAACATAAATTTTAATTTCAAAAGCCAAAGAATTCAGTGGAATCATATTATTTGTAATAAAATAATTTATCACACAAATATCTATTGTTTAAGTTATTTTTACTTTTTAAAATTTCGTGTCAAATCAAACTACATGAGATAAATTGAAATGGAGAGAGTATAATTTCTAAGGTTTTGGCTGATACGCATGCCGCCGCTAAATAATACACAAATATTGCTTCCAGGGGCAGAATTAAAGGGTAATGTATGGGACACGTAAACTCATGGTCTTTTCGTCAAATTAGATATTTTATATATGTATTTCCTAGAATTGGACTAATATGATCTGTTGTCAACCCATGCCCCACAAAGGCTGAATGAGTCACTTGGTTCAATTCTCATTTAGTATTTTTTCTCTTTTTTTAATGGTGCACTCATATTCTAAAAGTCATAGATCCACCTCTGGTCGATTCTATAATAATTAGGATAAAATTATTTTGTAACCTAAAATGGACAAGATTATCCCTTCTTTTTCAACTTTATGTTTTTTTTTTATATCGAGTAATAAAATTAACTTATTTTATTTTAATCTTTGATGCATGCATTTAATTTATGCAACCT